TGCCTCTGCCCCCTGAACGTGGCCAGGTTCAGATTTCAGACAGACCTTTCTAGTACTACCACCACCCTGTTCCCTACCTTAAGTCCCAGTTTCCTCTTGCCTTGAATCCTGTTTGCTTCCTCCTGGCTATACTTGTCCTGCTGGTTTGTACATCTGTCCAGTGTCCCTCACTTAGTTCTACATCTTGTAGCCCTACATCCATGCTGGGAAGGCTCCAACAGAAAGCTCCTTGGATCCCAGTAGAGTAGCATTCTGGCCATCGAGATGCCAATTATCTTGGCTGTTTGCACTCAAAAGGCAAGGTGCAACTTCTCCTTCCGTTCCTGAATCCTGACATACCTGTAGCCATTTCAGTGACTCCACAGTGGCTTGATCCTCAGAGGTCCTCTACCAGGGCCAGTTGACAGCAATCCAAACAGCCTATGCAGATTTTTACTCCAGGGCTGGAGATTTCCCTTGGAGCTCAGTGCAGTGTGTGACTCATTCTCTGCCTGGCCTGAGAGCTTGTTTGCATCAGATCTTGTTCTACCCATCTGGACCTTAATCTAGATGGTCCATAATTTGAAATAGGCATACTTGACTGAGAGGAATATCAAGACATCTGAATTATGCGGTATGAAATACCAGTTCTACAGGTTGTTCATTGTATTATGGCTGGGAGGGGTGGTGGATGGCAGGAATTTGGGATCTAATGAGTTCCAGAAACATATAACTCAACAAATTGAAACACGTTTCTTTAATGTATGACTTCTTAGAGTCTTTAACATGCTGTTCCATGCCAAAAATCTCCACAAGAGGGATTGCCATATACATCATTTCTCAAATTTAGTAGACCATAAGACCTACCATCTTGAGACAGTCAGAACTAGTGTCCTAAGGAACTACTGAGAGAGGTCCTCTGTAGACCCTACAGTGGGAGAGAGTAGACAGCACACAAAAAAGTGACCCTAAAAGGGAATGTGTTATGGATTGATGGTACAATAATTTTATTCCAGACAGAGCCCAAACTATGTTAAGACAAGCTTACTTAGAAAGTCATCCTGGATACTACTGGGAATTTTTACTCATATTTTGGAATCAGATTGACCAAATGAATCTTTGGGAGGTATATTCTTGCCCCAGGCTCACCTTGGCTTCCTTTCCAGGACATAAACATTCATGGATGCTGGGACCAAGTCTGTGAAACAGTTGTAAAGGACTTAGGTCTTTTTATTTGTATTGGGGAAGTTAAGATACTTGTTGCTACTAATTTAGGAAAACATTTATCTCCAGAAAAGCTGGAAATACTTGGTTGTGTCCCCACTGGCTATGTGTAAGCAAGGGTAGGTGTTCGTGCCAGTAACTTGTGACTTATAGGTTCGCTTCTCATTGGCCATAGCTTTCCAGGGCACCATCTGGTGACACTGGTGCATCCCTGCCACTGCTGCAGAGATTCCCAAGTTCATCTGAAACAGTCCCTGAACTTCCATGTCTTTAGCGGGTATTTGGGAAGTCATCAGGTGTTCTTGTCTCCTCTTTCTTGGCTGGCCTTTGCCCAATTTAGCTGGTCTCTGGAACAAAAATCAAAACCTTTCAGATCTCTAAATACTTGAATACTTCAAATCCACGTAGTTGGTGATACCTCCTCTGGCTAGGATTTTTCCTGACCAGGATTCAGAAACAGCAAGATGGATGTCTTTCCTTCAAAGGGGAAGAAAAACAAACAAAAGCAAAAGAAACCTGTTAACACTGACAATTTGTTACCTGGAATTTTCCACAGCAAACTTTTGGCCAGTGATAAGTGTAATTCTGCTTGTAGGTGCCTATTCTCCTTAAAGCTGAGAATCTTCTAACTTTCAGATTTCAGCCTGTGTTTTCACTGGGACAGGGCTTTGTCCCTTTTAGTTTTTGTAAGCGGTCCATTCAGGACAGGATGTCCCAATGGCAGGGCATTGGCTGGGGTAGGAGTTGGGGGTGTGGATTGAAAGATCCTGACCCACAACTTCTGGTGCGGCAGTTATGCAGTAGAATGTTAGAAATTGTGGTTTTAATGTCTCTAACTGAAATTGTCAGCTCCCTCCTCCCCATTCTCCAATTCCTCAACAAAGAGAGGCTTATTCCAGATCCTGCCATTTTGGAGTGGTTGTGCAAGAATCTTCTTTGGCCTTTATTTGTACTGGGGAAGTTAAGATAGTTGTTGCTACTTATTTAGGAGAGCATTTATCTCCAGAAAAGCTGGAAATACTTGGTTCTGTCCTCACTGGCTAAGTATAGGCAAGGGTAAGTCTTCATGCCCATGACTTCAGATTTATAGGTTCCCTTCTTATTGGCCGCAGCTCTCCAGGGTACCCATCTGGTAATGTGATGCATTACCAGGTAATTTTCTTGCTTGTCCCATAACATTACCAGTTACCTTCTTACTTGGAAGCTAGACCAAGGAGGAGTCCCTGGGTGGTGCAAACAACTAACATGTTCAGCTGCTAACCAAAGGTTGGAGGTTCTAGTCCACCCAGATGTGCCTTAGAAGAAAGGTCTGGCAGTCTACTTTCAAAAAATCAGTCATTGAAAACCCTACGGAGTGCAGATACATGGGATCACCATGCGTCAGAATTGCCTTGATGGCAACTGATTTTTTTTTTATAATGCATATATATACATGTATATCTATGATTTATTTTAAGGAATTGGCTCATATGATTATGGGGACTGGCAAGCCCAAAGTCTGTCAGGCAGGCAGGCTAGAAACTTAAGCAAGAGTTGATGTTGCATTCATGAGTCCAAAATCTATAGGGCCAGCTGGAAACTCAGGATTTCTGTGTTACAGTCTTACAAAATTCCTTCTTCCTCCAGAAACCTTAATTTTGCTGTTTAGGCTTTCAACTGATTGGATGAGCCCACCCACATTATCAAGGATAATATCATTTACTTAAAGTCAGCTGATTGTAAATGTTAATCACATCAACAAAATTCCTTCACAGCAATATCTAGACTAGTATTTGACCAAACAACTGGACACCACAGCCTGGCCAAATTGGTACATAAAATTAACCATCACACCCACATTGGCCTGTCTAATTCGCCAGAACCCTAGGAAACTAAGGAACCTAGAGGGAAGGGACTCTTAATTACCTCTGTTCCTTGTTTTTTGTTCCCTTCTTTACTTCCATCAGAAAACCCACCCCAAAAATCTTAAGACATTTTAGGGCCAGTGGAAGGAAAGGAAGAAATCTCATAACAGACAGACTCACCCTGATGACATGACCCAGATGGGTCTTCCCAGTATTTCCTTCTCTCGCTGGTGCTGATTCAGTGATACAGTATGCATCTCTTCCCCCCTTGACCAGACTGTTCTAGACTTGGGTTCACTCTCATTTCCTTCTCCATTGGGTTTTTGTTGTTTCCATCGTAGGTACTTGGCACCTAAAAAGACATCATCATCAAGTCAACCACTTACTAATTTCTTAGTAGGTGCTAGGTAGCTTATGCACATTGTTCTGTTTGTTTCCTGCAACAGCCCCGAGAGAGTGATATCATCACTCTCATTTACAGAGGATGATCAGAGGATGTAGGTGTTAGGTAACTCTTCCGTATCACAACGTTTGTTGTTGTTGCTGTTAGTTGTCATTGAGTCAGCTCCAACGCGTGGTGACCCCAGGTTCAACAGAACAAGACGTTGTCCGGTCCTGTGTCGTCTTCATGATTTTTGGTATGCTTGAGTCCATTGTTGCAACCATTGTGTATTTTGAGTGCTTTCCAACCTAGGAGGCTCATCTTTCAGCACTGTATGGGACAGTGTTCTGTTGTGATTCATAGCATTTTCACTGGCTAATTTTCAGAAGCAGACTGTCAGGCCTTTCTTACTAATCTCTCTTAGTTTGGAAGTGTCACTAAAAGCTATTCAGCATCATAGCAAATGCAAACCTCCACTAACAAATGGGTGATGGCTATACATGAGGTGTATTGGCTGCGAATCGAACACAGGTCTCCCACATGGAAGGCAAGAATTCTACCACTGAGCCGCCACCCCCCTGGTTATCTTACATGGAAGGTGCTTGTTTATTGGTAGAGGGTTCTGAGACCCAAGCTGACTTTGAATCTAGTGAGTCCTAAAAAGCGATCCTCACACACCCAGGTGTCTGCTCAGAGCCATCCAAAGAAGATGAGAAGTATTAGCAATGGCACTAGACACGAAGGGCCTCCAGTGATCCTAGGGAGGAAGCAGTGTCAGTAAGCTGTCTCCACTCCATCTGCGCTCAGCTCTTAGCACCTGATCCCCCACTGTGCTGCTCATTACAGGCTACATCCCAAAGCCGATTTCCTTAAAGGACCTCTCACAACCAATCTGCAAACCTGAACCATTTTTTGTATTTTGCTGCACCTCTACAAGGTAAATGTTACCTTTTAGGTGGGCAGGATTTCATGGTGTAATAGTTGTGTGCCTCCAACCAATGTAGGTGGCCATTTGGTGGGAAAGGGGTGAAAGTACCCACATCCTAACGCCCACTGTGCACACAAGTGGTAGAGACAAATGCTGGCCGGGAGTATCTTTTTTTCTCCCTGCATAAATGCTTCTGTCTCATTTAATACTAGAAATGTTACCTCCAGCCTTAGTCAACAAAGGGCTTGGCCCATCACAGCACCAGCCACCTCCTTACTTGGAAGCTAGATCAGAGGAGAAGGAACTCACTGCTTTCTAAGTTCAAATAACTTAGAAGTGAGCAGATGGCTGCTTGTATTGATTTCTTTCTCCCTTATAACACCCATGCACACATACACACATCAGTATCAACTCTTCACCTATTTTCATATGCGCTTGGTAGGATACGATTTTCTCCCTTACAAATAGAAAAGTCACTTTAGCTGGAGAGACCACCTAAACTGAAATGATTTCATGGCATTGTAAAAACCCCACCTCAGGATCCTTCCCATCAAAAGAGACCCCTTGCAGAAAGACAGCCTTGATGTCCAAAGGAAGACATAGTTGTTTTGACACTAATATCTGTATGTTTCTGTCCCTGCAGCCTTAGGAAAATCCAAAGGTACGGTATCCTCTGGTAGCTGCAAGGCCATGTTCAGGCTTTTAAAACCAAGCGAGCTATGTCCCCTGAGCTCTGCTAGAGGGGTAATGTGCCATGTTTGGCTGCTTAGCAGATTTACTTGAAGCTGACCATGTTCCCATCATTAAAGTTGCAGGGTGGCCTGCGGAGGTTGTGACTTGGCTAGGGTCATTGCTAGTGGTGGGGCTGGGGCAAGCAGGAGTCCTGACTCAGTCCCATGCTCTAAACCCCAAGTTAGAAACAGAAGAAGTATGTTTAGATGTCTCCTCTTAGCAGCCCCAGCTTGGAGTGGCTGCCTGCCTGGTCGGTGTTCTAGTGTGATGCTATCCCTGCCTTTGTCCCACTCACTCACTCCCAGCTTCCACTTGGGCAGAGTGGGTGCCGGCACCCCATTCTGCTCCGAGGAGAGCATGGATTCCGCACCTAGGGAGCTTGGCAGGCCATTATCCTAAGGCCAGCTGGCTTCTTGGAGGGTTGAATGAAGCCCAGCCTGCCAACCCCAAGCTGCGAGCTGCCACCTCCGCCGCCCGCCTGCCCAGGGCTGTTTCCGCAGGCCCCTAAGCAGCCCAGATGCTTGGGAAGGCTCTCCTGGGGCCCCACTGCAGAGTGCAGCCCCAAATGCATCGCTTCCCTGGGCGCAAGAGGGTGCTAAGGCTGCGCTGCTGTTCTTCCGACACTGAGTGCTTGAGTGTTTCTGCTTCATGGGGGGAGGGAGACCATCACCTGTGTGTGCGGCTAAGCATGTGTCTTTGTGTCCCTCACCAGCATGGGCGTGAGGGTCATGGACACATCCTGGGTGGCCCGAAGAGGCTCCTCCGTAGGCAGGAAAGCATCTTGTGCCCCGCCCTCCATGCAGCCTCCCGCCCCACCTGCTGAGCTGTCTCCGCTGCCGCCATCACCCCTTCGCGAGCAGCCTCTGGACAGCCCGGCCATCCCCTCGCTTTCTCCATCTAGCATGGGCCTCCAGCCCGGCACCACCGCAGAGCGCACCAGGTAAGCGGGGCCGGCGTCCTGGGGAGCTGGACTAAGGCGCGGGGGTTCCTGGGTTTGCTGCACCTACTCGAGGCCTATTAGACTTGATCGTTCTCCCTGATTCTAAGCACTCATGTACAGGTTTCTGCATCAAACTGGTACCAAATTAGACTTTTCCAGCTCTGTAGCTTATCAGAGAGTCCAGGCTTTCTAAGAATAACATTCCCAGACAAAAAAATAAGGTGGCAGCTTGCTACAGCAAGCGGTGTAGGCAGTCTGTGATTCTCCATTTTCCCTTCCCACGTATTCTGAAATTTAGAATGTCGGTATTTCTCCCTTCCACTCCGTGACAGTCAGGTTTGTGCCAGTCATTTTTGCTGCTGAAATGGGCCCAAGTCAGGAGTGGAGGTGAAAGTTGCAATGGGCCTGGCGACCTTTGCAGCATGCCACATGGTGGCATTTCCAGCTTCCTGGGGGAAGAAAAGCAGAGAGAACAAATCATTCCACGACTGGTTCAGTGAACCATTACCAAGGACCTTCTCCATCCATAGGTGAAAGATACGATCTCTGCCCTTAATGTGTTCAGGTCCAGCAAGCAAGCGGGCACTGCCAGTTATCACAAAACGCCTTCTCCTGGATCCAGGGGAAGGACGCCCTGCCTTGGAAGGGGTGAGGGCAGAGGGAGATCTGGAAGTGGGAATTGCACAGTGAAATGCCTTTTCGTTTCTGTTCTCAAACAACAGTTCAGAGAACTAGGAAAGGTCCTTCTAAGCAGACACGGCTGTGCATTCTGTTAGGGACATGGCATTCCTCCACCACCACTACTGGGGAATTTTGGAGACTTTGCGAAGCTGGACCTTCTAACACAGTCTTTTCCTAGACACACACACATGGACACACACACCCCTTCTCATCCACCACCACCACATGTACATACACACACACCTAAATGAGGGGGTTGCAGACTTTTTCTCTCTAATGAATACATGATATTGTCCCTGTGAAATTAGGAAATGAGAAACGGAAAAGGGGGCAATCATAGAATTGGGAAGGGGGCTGGCACTGAGTATGTTTGGGGTGTAGCTGATGGCTCTGACTTGGAATGAGGGGAGGCTGGTACTGGCTACGCAGGCTTCAGGCTGCCGGTCAGCATGAGAGGTGCTGAAGGGCAGAAGGAACTCTGCAGAAGCAGAGGCCCACCGTGGTTGGCCAGGGAGGCTGACAAGGAGAGAATGAATGCATGGACAGGCAGGAGACGTGCTGGGACTGGTCCCTTGGAGGACACTCCCTGGCTTCTTCCTAATTGCCCATTTTTTTCATGAAACTTGATGCCAAATGGTATTTGGCTCCTTCTAAAAATGACCCTCAAAGATGGATTCTCCCCAAGCTCTGAAGGGAGCCTAGGAACATTCTGAGTGTGTGGCCTTCCCGAGTCACTTATGAGCAGGGTGGGCCACTCAGATGACTTAAAAGGTCAGTCACACTGCTCTGCAGCCCTCTGCCACCCTGCCTTTCTCCGGGGGTGATCGGTTCAGAAGCTTTTCTTTGGGTGTTAGTGTTCTTATTCATCCTCTGCGGCTCTTTGCCTCTCCCTACATGGATTCCTCCTAGTTCAAATGGGTGTTCCGTTGTTTGGGTTTTTCCTGTTCTGGACATTTGCAGCACAGATGATGTTTCCTCCGGTTGCCGGATTCCTGTTATGGCTCCCCCTCCCCTGAGGATGGCAGGCCCTCCCCTCCCTCTGGCTCACCCCCACCCTCCCTGCCCCAGGATCTGCTTTCAGCTCCTTCCCCTCAGGCCTGGGGCTCTCTGGGCCAGCTGCCTCCGCGTCCTGCTCAACTGCTTGACATTAACTCTCACCGCAAACTCCGCTTCCTGTCCCTGTGTGCCCCAGCTCACTGACCGAGTCATGCATCCCCACAATTAACTGGTCCTCAAACGTACCCTAACCGTGCCTGATTCATTTAGTGCTCCTAATAACCACCTGACACCCCACCTCTCCCCACTGGGTCAGCTGCACCTATGCTGGAGAGAGAGGAGCAAGGCTAAGTAGGTAAATACTTGTTTCTGTGGTGGGAAAGTGTACCTTGTGGGGGGAAAAGAACAAAGAGCACCTTGTTCCCTAGAGTCCTTGGACAGATGTCTTGTCTTCACAGCAAAACAAAGGAAGAAAAGTCTGTTAACCCACAAGAAACCATTTTTTGCACTTGTTTGACTTTGATGGCGGCAGAGGTGGATGGAAGGGTAGGTGGATATTTGACATGGAGGCCTGGGTGCCTTGTGCCTGAGGAAAAATAAAGGACAAGCCCTTACCCAGCCTCAGTGAGGCCAGGGTGTTCTGTTTCTGTGTTTGTTGTGGTTTTTCTTTAACAGGGTAGAGAGAGGAATTGTTGCTTTTTTGGTCTCTCTGGATGAAATGGATGGTGTTTTTTCTTTGGGAATTACCTGGGTATAGTGTAAAACTCATCCTGACAGGTCGAGAAGTTCTAGTACCTTGAGTATGGTCTTTCCTTTATTCCCCACGTGGGGAATCACAAATTGTACTTTCATACCATTTCCTTTTCCAGCCCAGTTTCTCACTACAGCCTTTCCCACCATTTATTACAAGCTCTTTGATAATTGGCATTACAGAATAAATTTAGGGAAGAAGTGGGCTGTAGCTGCTTTTGTGGGGAAAGGGGCTGCACTGTGAAGGATTTAGATCCCCCAAGTCCCCACTCCCTACCTGAGGGCTACAGAATCCAGGTAGGTTCTAGTAAGGTAGCTGTCAACCCCAGGGTCAACTCCGATGGTTTGCAAGGGGCCGCCTGGAGCATTATGTTGAAAAGGAGCTAGAACCACGTGGAGTGAAATATTGGGGCAATTAGTAATGACCGCCATGATGGTGTGTTAGAGGACGGTGGGGAGTGAGGAATCTGCCATGTACTTGCCTTTCCTGTCTGTAGTGTTGAGTTGAGCAGGCTGTCTTTTGACATGTGCTTTACTTGTAGGGGAATGCCTGAGAAAGGGCCTAAAAGTGAAGTATGAATTCTCTCTGAGGGCTAGTGACCTTGGGTACCTCTTATCAATTAGAGGGAATCCAGAGCCCATATTCTCACACTTCCATTGGCCCTCACTCCCCTCTAAGCATAGAGGACTGAGACTTGAACTGGCTCAGGGCCCAAGTTCAGGAGCACAGCCAGGGTCTGTGTCAACCTGCCATCTGCTAAACCTGTTACCGAGTTTGAAGATGGGTCACAGGATGCCTCCCCTGCTTGGGGCCTGTGCTGAAAGCCCAAGGGAGCAGCTGGAGAGTTGGTGCACTGTGGGCTGGAGGCGTCACCCCTTGTCCAGCCCATTGCCCCACAGAAGTCCCTTGTCCCTAGTATGCTGTGTAGACAGCATGCTCTAGTTTCCGAATGCCCAACAATTCCCATGCTGACCACAAGATATCGTGAGATGTCTGAGGACCCTGCCCTTACGTTTCTTATGGTCTACTGTGGTGATTGGGCAGAGATGTGGAAAGGGAGCTGGAAGTGCATGCCAAGGGCCAGAGAGACGGGAGTGGAGTCCAGGAAGGGGCAGGCACCTCATGGGGCACCTTTGGAGGCTTTAAGAAGGGAGTGAGGCGGACCAGAGCTGGGATAGGCTTGAGCTGGGTGCAGAACAGCACATCGGATGGCTATAGGCAAGGCTAGTACTGATGTTAACTGAGTTCAGGGGTTCTCTTTTGTTCTGTGTGTTTGTGTTTCAGTGCTTCTAAAAGCAAAGAACTTTCTCCTGGGTCTGTGCAGAAAGGAAGTCCAGGCTCCAGCCAGGGGATACCCTGTGCAGGGACACAACCAGGGGTGCAAACAGGGGCCAGCCCCAGCCAGCCGCCTGCAGACCAGAGTCCTCACACCCTCCGGAAAGGTAAGCCGCTTCTGCCTGTGTCAGTAGTCTCAGGCCTAAGAGCTGTGCAACTTGAGGTCAACTCATTTCCCTCAGTTAGCATGAATATTAAGTCCCAGAATAAGGAAGACCAAAGAATTGACGCCTTTGAATTATGGTGTTGGCAAAGAATATTGAATATACCGTGAACTGCCAATAGAATGAACAAGTCCGCCTTGGAAGAAGTACACCCAGAGTGCTCCTTGGAAGTGAGGATAGCAAGACTTCGTCTCACATACTTTGGCCATGTTATCAGGAGCGACCAGTCCCCGGAGAAGGACATCATGCTTGGTAAAGTAGAGGGTCTGCAAAAAAGAGAAGACCCTCAATGAGATAGATTGACACAGTGAGTGAAACAATGGGCTCAAACATAGGAAGGACTGTGAGGATGTCACAGGACCGAGCAGTGTTTCGTTCAGTTGTACATAGGGTCACTATGAGTAGGAATTGATTTGGTGGCACCTAACAACAACAGTTAGGTCCCTGTGTAGTGCAAGTGGTTTGCAATTGGCTGCTAACCTAAAAGTTGGTGTTGCAGCTAACCCAGTAGCACTGTGGAAGAAAGGCATGGTGATCTGATTCAGTAAAGATAACAGTCAAGAAAACCCTATGGAGAAGTTCTACTTTGTAACATGTAGGGTCACCATGAGCAAGAATCAACATAACGGCAATGGGCTTGCTTTTGGTTAGCGTGGATATTTAGACACTTTGAGGTTTAGTGAAAAATTCCTGGTCCGAGGGTTAGAGCTTTGGGAAGTTAACCAACCCCAAGAGGGATCATTTCAGCTTATTCCTCAGTTTACTCATTTGAAAGGCAGGCTCTTTATGGGCATATATAAAAAGGGCTTCCCTTATACGAAGACTTCAGTGCAAAAATCATTGTGTGGGATGACACGGCTTGTATTTTCCACAGACCTTGCCAAGCCCTACCTCCATCATTTAAAAAGCTGCATGGGGTCCTCTACTGGTGGTCCGCCCCCTCAACCTGGGCCCTGCACAGCTGCCCACCCCTGGGATGCTTGTAGGGGATGTGTAGTGACCAAGAGGAGTGAGTCCAGAATCGTTTCTTCATGAGCCCTGACTTGTGATACTTCTGTTTTGGAAAACCTGAGATAGAATTGCCACCCTGACCCATGAGCTGCTCAACCCAGGATTGTGCCTCTGGAACCCATTGGGGAAGCGCAGCCACTCTCAGTGAAATCACTCCCAAAGCTAAGCTGTGCTCACTGGTGACATTGAACAAATGTGGAGCTGTAATGGATCTGAACTTACGCAAAACTTTTGTGTTTTTCACCTTATGTCATCTGTTTGCGAACTTGTTTAAAATAACATATTGCTTAATCTGTTCTAACCTTAGACCTTTCAGGCTTCTACAGGGCTTTAGTTCCAGGATTTGTTGAATTGGGCTGTTTCTTTTATCCACACAGTGCCTTCATGACCAGTTCCACTCCAGCTTTCTGTTTCCAGGCTACAGTGGCAACCGCATTATCCTAGTCTGTCATCACTCAGCCCTTTGATCTTTTTAGTTTCCCCATTCATTCCTTTTGTTGTTGTTGTTAGCTGCCGTTGATCAGGCCCTGACTCATGGAGACCTCATGTACAATGTGATCCAGCCATTGTGATTCACAGGGTTTTAATTGGCTGATTTTTGGAAGTAGATTTCCAGGCCTTTCTCTTAGTCCCTCTTAGTCTGGAAGCTCCACTAAAACCTATTCAGCATCATGTTAGTTGTTGTTGTTAGGTGCGGTGGAGTCGGTTCTAACTCATAGCGACCCTGTGTACAACAGAATGAAACACTGCATGGTCCTGTGCCATCCTCACAGTCCTTGCTATGTTTGAGCCCGTTGTTGCAGCCACTGTGTCAGCCCATCTTGTTGAGGGTCTTCCTCTTTGTCAATAACCCTCTACTTTAGCAAGCGTGATGTCCTTCTCCAGGGACTGGTCCCTCCTGATAACATGCCCAAAGTACATGAGATGAAGTCCCACCATCCTCACTTCTAGGGAGCATGCTGGCTATGCTTCTTCCAAGACAGATTTGTTTGTTCTTCTGGCAGTCCATGGTATATTCAGTATTCTTCGCCAACACCGTAATTCAAATGTATCAATTCTTCTTCAGTCTTCGTTCATTGTCCAGCTTTTGCGTGGATATGAGGCAATTGAAAATATCATGGCTTGGATCAGGGGCACCTTAGTCCTCAAATTGATATCTTTGGTTTTTAACACTTTAAAGAGGTCTTTTGCAGCAGATTTGCACAATGCAATATGTTGTTTGAGTTCTTGGCTGCTGCTTCCGTGGGTGTTGATTGTGAATCCAAGTACAATGAAATTCTTGACAACTTCAGTATTTTCTCTGTTTATCATGATGTTGCTTATTGGTCCAGTTGTGAGGATTTTTGTTTTCTTTATGTTGAAGTGTAATCTGTACTGAAGGCTGTAGTCTTTGATCTTCATGAGTAAATGCTTCAAGTCTTCTTCACTTTTAGCAAGCAAGGTTGTATGATCTGCATATTGATGCTGTAATCTTCTTCATATAGTTCAGCTTCTTGGATAATTTGCTCAGCGTACAGATTGAGTAAGTATGGTGAAAGGATACAACCCTGACTCACACCTTTTCTGATTTTAAACCATTCTGTATTGTTCCTTTTGAACGACTGCCTCTTGGTCTATTTACAGGTTCCACATGAGCACAATAAAGTGATCTAGAATTTGCTGTGTTACCCATAATTTGTTGTGATCCACACACTCAAATGCCTTTGCATAGTCAGTAAAACACAGGTAAACATCTTTTTTGTATTCTCTGCTTCAGCCAAGATCCATCTGACACCAGCATTGATATCCCTACAATATTAATGATATTGTTTGATAATTTCTTCATTCTGTTGGCTCACCTTTCTTTGAAATGGGCACAAATATGGATTTCTTCCAGTTGGTTGGCCAGGTAGCTGTCTTCCAGACTTTTTGGCATAGACAAGTGAGCACTTCCAGCATTGCATCTGTTTGTTGAAACATCGCAATTGATATTCCATCAATTCCTAGAGCTTTATTTTTCACCAGTGCCTTCAGTGCAGCTTGGACTTCTACCTTCAGCACCGTCGGTTCTTGATCATATGCTACCTCCTGAAATGGGTGAACATTGACCAGTTCTTTTTGGTACAGTGACTCTGTGTATTCGTTCCATCTTCTTTTGGTGCTTCCTGCATTATTCAATATTTTGCCTGTAGAATCATTCAGTATTGCGACTTGAGGCTTGAATTTTTTTCTTCAGTTCTTTCAGCTTCAGAAATGCCAAGTGTGTTCTTCCCTTCTGGTTTTCTAACTCCAGGTCTTTGCACATTTCCTTAGAATACTTCACTTTGTCTTCTCCACCTGCCCTTTAAAATCTTCTGTTCAGCTCTTTTACATGATCATTTCTTCCTTTTGCTTTAGCTACTCTATGTTCAAGAGCATGTTTCAGAGTGTCTTCTGACGTCCATTTTGATCTTTTCTTTCTTTCCTGTCTTTTTAATGACCTTTTGCTTTCGTAATGTATGATGTCATCCTACAGCTCATCTTGTCTTTGATCATCAGTGTGTTCAGGGTGTCAAATCTTGTCTTGAGATGGTCTCTAAATTCAGGTGAGATATACTCAAGGTCATATTTTGGCTCTCATGGACTTGTTTTAGTTTTCTTCAGCTTCATCTTGAAGTTGTATATGAGCAATTGATCTGTTCTGGAGTTGGCCCCTGGCCTTGTTGTGACTGATGATATTGAGCTTCTCCATCATCTCTTTCCACAGATGTAGTCAACTTGATTCCTGTGAATTCCATCTGGCGAGGTCCACACGTATAGTCGCCGTTTATGTTGTTGAAAAAAAGGTATTTGCAATGAAGAAGTTGTTGGTCTTGCAAAATTCTATCATGTGATCTCCCACATTGTTTTTAACACCAAGGCCATATTTTCCAACTACCGATCCTTCTGTTTTGTTTCCAATTTTTGTATTCCAATCACCAGTAATTATCAATGCATCTTGGTTGCATATTTGATCAATTTCAGACTGCAGAAGTTGGTAAAAATCTTCAATTTCTTCACTCACTAATTTCTTCATTAGTGGTTGGTGTGTAAATTTGAATAACGGTCGTATTAACTGATCTTCCTTGTAGGCGTATGGATACTATCCTATCACTGACAGATTTGTACTTCGGGGTAGATCTCGAAATGTTCTTTTTGACAATGAACATGTTACCATTCCTCTTCAATTTGTCATTCCCTGCAAAGTAGACAGTATGATTGTCTGATTCAAAATGGCCAATAGAAGTCCATTTCAGCTAACTAATGCCTAGGATATTGATCCTTATGCATTCGTTTCATTTTTGATGACTTCCCATTTACCTAGATTCATACTTCGTACATTCCATGTTCTGATTATTAACGGATATTTTCAGTTGTTTCTTCTCATTTTGAGTCATGCCACATCAGCAAATGAAGGTCCCGAAAGCTAGACTCCATTCATGTCATTAAGATTGACTCTACTCTGAGGTGGCAGCTCTTCCCCAGTCGTATTTTGAGTGCCTTCCAACCTGAGGGGCTCATCTTCTGGCACTATAGCAGACAGTGTTCCACTGCTATCCATAATGTTGCTATTCAGCATCATAGCAACATGCATATCTGCACTTATAGACAGGTGGTGGCAGCACATGAGGTGCATTGGCCAGGAATCAAACCCAGGTCTCCTACTTGCATGGAAGGGGAGAATTCTACCACTGAACCCACATTACCCCCTTCATTCTTTATACTTTCTGCAAATATTTATTGAGCCCCTACTCTGTGCTGGGTACAGAGGGTGCCACCGTACGAGAGAGAGACATAGCCTCTCTGGAAAGGAAAACACGCAGCTATGCTACAAGGGTGGTACTGCTGTGCTGGGGGTGGGGGCACTTGGGGCACTGTGGAGACACATGGGGACACCCCTTCCAGACTCAGGAGTTAGGGACGGTGGCCCAGAGGACACTGCATCTTGAAGGTTGAATAGGGGCTAGTGGTGGGGTGGAATTTTAGTGTTCCAGCATTGCATCTGTTTGTGGAAACATTGCAATTGATATTCCATCAATTCCTAGAGCTTTATTTTTCGCCAGTGTCTTCAGAGCAGCTTGGACTTCTACCTTCAGTACCATCGGTTCTTGATCATATGCTACCTCGTCAGGTTTGCCTTTCCATCTACATGTCAAAGCTCTGTGGTACTTCTTTGTTTACCAAGCCCTTTAATCCCCCATCCAGTCAGTGTCTTGCCCAGTGGAGGGTCAGAGCTCCTGTTCCTGCCCGGTCTGTTTCCTAAGGCCACTGTTAGGTTGGCCTTTTTACTTTCCACAGCACATTGGACCTATGCAAGGAGGACAGTCTAGAGTGACTCAGGTCACTTTCCTGAGTGACACTCCATAGCTCGGAGCCATCATTTGAAAGCACGGCTTTAACCCAGTTTGAAAGGTTCAGCATTGACCGACGGAAACAAGGACAACGTGTGTGTTGCATAGCAACCAAAGCCCTTGCCCCTCGCATTTTGTCCCTAGTAGGAAGCAGCGCTGCCCCGCTCAAAGATGGCGGCTGACCATGCCGCTTTGAATGTTTTCCTCTCCACGGTCCTGCTGATAATCTAATCTCTCGCATCAGGCTCCTAAAAGTTTCTTGATGCAGGAGATTGGATTATTGTCTCCTGAAAGTTCCCTGATGTGAGAGGGCGACACACATTCAAAGCTGCATGGTCAGCCGCCATCTTTGAGTGGGGCGGTGCTGTTTCCTGCTTGGGGCGGAATCCCATGGGCAGGAGCTTTGGTTGCTATGCAGAGCTTACACTGCCCTTGTTTCTGATGGCCATGACTGAACAGCTTCGAACTGGTTTGAAGCCCTGTTTGAAAGGTATAATTTTCTTCTTCACCCTCCACCCCTGCCATTGACCATTATTGATACATTTAGGGGTTTTTTTGCCTTTTTTTTGACTACTAGGTCTTTTGACACTTTGCCTACAGTTCAACATCATGGCCAAGTCCTGTCACTACCCAGAGTGTGTGGTCACAAATACAGTGGTGCCAGTGTGCCTTCCCACTTTCAGCTCATTTATAAGAAGACATGTTCAAGCATTGATACCTAGGGCTTCCACTTTCTTCTCACCCAAAACAGTAATTCCTAGATCAGCAGTCTCTGCCGGTCACGCATTAACAATAGCAGCTGCTGTGAAAACTTACTCTGTACTCAGGGAGTAGAGTTGAAATATGAAATTAGAAAATTAAGTGGTTTTATTAGTAAGTCATAATTACCACCAGTTGCCATTGAGTCAGCTTTGAGTTGTGGCAACCCCATGTGTGCCGGAATAGAACTGTGCTGCATAGGCTGATTTTCAGTGGCTGATTTTTTGGAAATAAATTGCCAGGCTTTTCTTCCGAGACATCTCTGGGTGGATGTGAACTGTTAACCTTTTGGTTAGCAGCTGAGCTCATTAACCATTTGCACTGCCCAGACGCTCCAAGTCATAAGTACATAGTGCTTTACATACATGATCCCATTTAATTATCCAATTAATTATCACAGTGCTGTGGGGAAAATACTATTCTTCCCATTGTATAGAAGAGGTGTAAATAAGTTGCCCAGTGCATGTAGTAGATAAGTGGCAGGATAGGAATTTGAACCCAAGTTGTTGGGACTCTAAAGAGTGAGTCCTTTTCTTTTCCACATTGCAGGCCAAAAGAGCCAGAGACGTACACAAGGTATTTGTGTTGATGGGGGTGGGGAGGAAGAGTCCCTGATGCCTCCCTGAGGACTGAAAAGAATTAGTGCCTCCACAGCCAGCCCTTACAAGGAGGTTGGGGCAATGATGTGCTTGAAAAACATAGTAGATGAGTATATGCTTGCACCCAGAGGCTGCAGTTTTTGAATGAATGAAAGAACAAAAAAGAAAACCTGTGAGGCAGGTAGGCAGGATTGAGGCAAGGGGGAGGGGAGAGGAAAGGAGAGGGGAAGACACAGTGATGGAGGCAGGCGGTTTCTGTGGCCAGAGAGTTGGGTCATAGGTCCCCACGGTGGCAGCCAAGAGCATGGTCCTGCATGATGGTCTCCACCAGGAGACCCCAAGGCAGCCCACCCTCAGCGCTCAAGGTGGGAGATGGTCTGAATGTGACCTTCCCATTAAGCACCACCATGGGCGGATCTTGGTGAAGCTGGTAGGAGAGTGGCATGGTGGATAGCAGCCACAAGTGACTCCGTCCTGTTTTATAAACCAGCCTTTTCTACAGTGATCCAGGGAAGGGAAGTGACTTAGGCAGAAGCATTGGTAGGTTCAGCCAAAATTAAGTGCTTCCTACCCTGAAGGCTTGCCCTGGCCGGGACTCCGCGGTCTCAGCTGAGCTCCAGTCCTCTTCGGCTTTCCCCGGCATGACTGAGTCCCTCTTCTCAGGGTGGAGCTGTGAGGCCTTTTACCACTCCCAGGTGATGGCAGTCCCTGGAAACCAGTCCATTACCTGTGCAGGGGACATTGGCTCTCCAACTTGGCTGTTTGTGTGTGCGTAGATCATGGCAAGAATCCAGAAAAGAGGGGCAGAAATTAGTTAACAGATGGAAAGATAGGAAAACTTGCAGTTCTCAGTTAATTTTTTTAACAACGTATTCCTATATTGTATAACACGGTGTAAATTTTAGCCTCTCTCAGTGTCGGGAGAGGTGGGAGTGGGTGGAAGATTGGCAGGTTTACCTGAAGGGTATGCAGACAAGCTGCACTGAATGCACTGCATTGAACAACCTTGTGTTGTGTTGTGTTTTCTCTTTCAGTTTCAAAGAAGTTGGCACCAATTCCACCCAAGGTTCCCTTTGGCCAGTTGGGGCCTATGACTGAGCAGCCCACCGCCGGCCAGCCCTCCCCAGTCAGCCTGTCTCCCACCCCTCCGAGCACCCCATCACCCTATGGACTGAGTTACCCTCAAGGGTACTCCTTGGCCTCTGGCCAGCTCTCCCCGGCTGCAGCAGCCCCGCCTCTGTCCTCTCCTACTGTCTTTACAAGCACTTCTGCCAAATCGAGGCCCACCCCTAAGCCCCGACAGAGACCCACCCTGCCACCGCCTCAGCCTCCCACAGTAAACCTCTCAGCCTCTAGTCCACAGCCTGCGGAGCACCCTATGCTAGATGGCATGTCCCCCGGGGAGAGCATGTCCACAGGTAACCAAGCCTCTGGCTCCCTTGCGTTCTTCCGTGAACCTTAGCAGAGTGTGCCGCGTGGAGGGAGGGTTGGTTGGCTTTGCTGCGTTCAGGGCCTCCTGTCTGAATGAGGTTGCTGTGTTGGTGCCATGTGTAGTGCACAGGATGATCTCCTTAGCCGGCCACCAGGAAAGCCAGTGGAAAGCAGCCCCCCTGAATCCAAGTTGCCCGTCAAGGGGACTTCTCCCCGTCTAATGCCTGGCGACCCAGAATTCTGCATCTGATCTTAATTTTTTGGCTTTGGAGTGGAGCCTCAGTGATGCCAAAACAGCTGGTGTGAAATACAGGTGTGGTATTTGAGGCTCTCCTTGCATGGACCCCAGGCAACTACACAGGCACAAATCCTTACCTTGAGAACGAGGGCCAAGAACCACAGACATCTTCCCTGTTAGTCAAAATAAGCCTTACTAGAAAGATAGATTTTTAGCAATATATTTTCACTAGAGAGTGATCAGTTTCAGAAAAGACATGCACTCCCGACCCGTGCCCCCTAATTCCTTGAGAAGCTAATTGGACAAGGCAGCAGCTACTAAGTTTTGCCCTGAATTTAAAAGTAAAGACTGATCTGTTTACCCACAGAAGAATGCGTGAGGTGAAATCCCAAACAGATACCACATTTAGCAGAGACTGCTCATCGGTTGGAAGAAAAAGAGAACAGTTTTGAACTGTCTCCCAGACACTGACTGCATGAGATGATAGCCTCAGGGGCATATCTGTGATGGCTGCTGAAGTCAGTCTCGCATTTTCCTCTTTTGGGGAGGCAGGTAGCCTATTGGGCTGTGCCTGGAGTAGTCAGCCCACTGTGTCACTGCATGGCAGAGAGCCTGTGCACATCTCTTTAATATTGTCCCAAGTAGCAGGAAGAGACACACCTTGGACTGGAGCCTGCGCGCACACAGGCACGCATGCGCGCGCGCGCGCGCACACACACACACACACACACACACACACTTTCTCTCTCTCTCTCTCTCTCTCCCTCTCTCCAGAGACCTGAGTCCCAGGTCAAGCCGTGGCCTAGGTCCACAGTGCCCCCTCAGCCCCCCACATGTTTTGCCAAAAGAGCAAGGCTTCCCTTGGTTGGATGGCAGCATTGAGCCTGCAGAGTTGGGCTCCCTGCTGCCTCAGAAAAGGCTAGTCCATTTTAAGTGTTTGTGTGGGGTCAGGAGTAGATATTGTGGGTAACCACCTCCTGGTAATCTGGCTTCCTCATTCTGGGATGAGATTACTGCCCAGAGCTCAGCTGCTGCCATCTCCACTGAGGCTTAGGAAAAGCAAAGGACCGTCCCTCCTGGGAAAATGGCAGCGAGCCCACTTCCCAGCTGGCAGTTCTCGCTGTGGTGACAAATGTTTTCCTGAGAGGAGGGAGCTCACAGGTCTCCTGCCCTGGGGGGTGTCCCCCTGACCACACTGGCCCTGTGGCGGCGGCTGGAGTTCCCAGCCTCCCCAGGCAGGGACACTGGTAGTGTTGGTATTGCAGGCCACAGGGTGGGCAGATGCTGCAGAGGACGTTACTCGTAGAAGACCCAGGAAGGGGGCACTTATTTGAGGGACAGTGACCCTCAGGTTGTCTGAGAAACATAGTGCTTCACGTTCCGGCGTGCAGGCCAAAGACCTGCTGACCTCCACGTACACTCTGCTTTGTCTTCATATTCTTTCGGGAGCAGACTTTCTTGTCCCGTGTGTCTGGTTTCTGAGCCAAAAGAAAAGCCCTAGAGTTTCGTATGGCCCACCTGTGACTGTTCTCGTTTTGCATGTCTGTTCCTTTCTCCCAATCCTATCATTGTGTTCTTGCAGCTGTGTGACGTGAGTGACGCAGTTTTGGATACATGTGAGGGGCTGTTCAGGGTAAGCTGGCTCCAGCCTCGCCCCCTCTCCACACGGCTAGCTCGCAGGCCGGCCGCCGGCTCCCTCCCTCCCCTCTGCATGGGGCTCTGCTGGGCTGCTATGCTCCTCCTGCCTCCCCAGCCTTCACAGCACCCACCCGGCCCCTGAGCTGATTTGGCTTTTTGGAATCACTGGCTTTTATTGTTTTCTGCCTTTTCATTAGGAGGAGCCAGGGGAGAAAACTAGCAAAAAGCTGAGCTCTTTCCCCACCTTCTCCTCAGAACCACCCAGTGTCAGCTCCTCATTCCCTCCCCCTTTAGCTTAGAACCTGGGCGGGTGCCAGATCTGTTCTTCATGTGACGTGGCTGATTTTTGTGTTTCGACCGCTGGCCGAAGGCTTTTGTCCTCAGTGCCCCAGGGAGGGTTCGCCTCCTCGTGGGAGGACAGGCTGGTGCAGGCAGGCACAGGGACCTCGCCTAGGCTGAGTCCTTGGGACCGGGGACTGTTCCAGCAGCCTCCCAAGCGTGCACCTGTGGATCTCCACCCTCCGACTTCATCTCTAACCTGTCTTCCTCTGGGCCGAGAGCTGGCAAACCTTGAGGGAGGACCCACAGTCTCAGAATTCTTACCCGAGCCTCGCCCACGCCCCCGATGAGCGTGGCCAGCTAGATCCTTTCCATCCAACTCAGTAATTTATTTGGGGAGCATTTATACCAGTATCTGCCTGGTCAGCTCCTATAAACGGAGGCAAGAGCATGAAAGACCCCAGGAGGAATGAGGTGTTTGCCTCTGTGAGGGTGGCCAGAGTGAATGAGGGAAGGGCTTTCCCCAGTTTCAGCCCTCCAGGCCCCCAGGGGTGCTCCCTCTCAGCCCCTGGTTCTCACAGAGGCCTCAGGCAGGAGGGCAGCGGCACTAACCGACAGGTCTCTAACAGACATTTCGGAAGCCACCTGCCAAACAAGCCATCCCAGCTCCCCTCTCCCCATGAACGTCAGCGGGCGCGTCTCTCCCTAGACCCTGTGCCCTGCCTCGCTCATTGCCTTCTCCCTCAGGCCTCTCTTTAAGGGGGCTGGAGGGTATCAGTGACAGCTGACATCACGCGCCTCTTCTGGGCTGGGCACGCTTTAATCACTTCCTTGGTATTGTCGTGTTGAAGCTCATCATCACCCTTTATTATTTCCGTTTGACTGCTTAAGACACTGAGGCCCAGGGAAGGTAAGACACTTACCAAGGCAGCATTCCTGATTTGTGACAGAGATGGGGTTTTGTGCTCTGACCCGCACAGGAGGCCCCGCCAGGCGCAGCCTTGCCCTGGTACACAGGAGATACAGGCCCAGGTGCTGAGGGAGGGCAGAGACAGGCCCAGAGGCCCACAAACACCCTTTTAGGAGGAATAGCCCCTGCTTCAGGGTGAGCAGGTGGCATTGGCCGAGCCAGCCTCAAACCCACCGAGGCCCTGCTTGACAGCCGACAAAACGAAGACAGGCTGGAAGGGCGTTTTGAGGACCACATGGGGGTGGGAAGAGGGAGAAGGTGTTTTGTCCCAGAGCGTCCATGTTTGTATGTCTTTTAGGACAGTGTCCAAGTGTGTGTCTGTGTACTCGAGTATTTCTCAGACTAAACATTTGTTTAAAAACGAAAGAAAACCCTCCCAAGGCTAGCCGGGAGCAGCTCCCGTTCTAGTGCCACCTCCTGTCACCCCTGAGAGCTGCCCCTGACCTAGGCTGGCCAGCCAGGCTGAGGATGGGGAGAAGGGCTTCTCTGGCTTCTGGACCTCCCAGTGAGCGGCCTCCAGCCCACAGAGAAGTCCAGTGGAGGGGCTGCACCCCAGGCCCTGCTGCCCGTGATGGCCTGTCAGCCAGGAGCCTGGCATTTGCTCAGCTGCTGGCTCTCAGATTTCCAAATCGCCCTTACCAACCACAGAAGTCCTGAGTTCCATAGCTGCTGACCCTGGTCACTGCAGGTGCATGCTCTGATCATCTCCCCAGGAGTAATGACCTTTGTATACTCCCGACAGAGACATAGCCCAGAGCTCCTTGCAAAGCAGCAGAGCCTCGTGGAAGAGGGTGCTGTGGGCCTAGGCAGAAAGTCACTACAGGGGACACAGCCTCCCTAGTGCCCAGGCTAGCGGGCAGGGCTTCTCCTGTGGCTGGAGTAGACAGCTTGCTACAGCTATCACCAGGGCCCGAGGGAGCCCCTGCACCGCCATCGCCCGTCCATAGTGTGGCCATTCTGAGGACTCCGTCACTCATCCACAGAGATGGGAGAAAGGGTGTTCTCCAGTGCCCCCTGCCCTATCCCTGCAGACCCGAGGGCACTAAGTACAGCCCTGAAATTCTCACAGTGATGCCACGAGACCCACACAGAGGGCATCCTTCTTATCCAGGGCTGAGCTGCAGGGTTGAAGTGTAATCTGGGGGAACCATTCAGGCAGTCCTGACTGTGGCAGAATCAGATGCCAAGCTTACAAGGTAAAAGCTGAGCGGGTGTGACCCTAAACCAACCCTGCAATAAAAGGTTTCAACTGGCCCCTAAGTACTCTGTCCCTAAAATGAGCAGATGACTGCTGCCTAGCGCTAACTGTATTTGCCTGCAGTGAGCGTCTCCTTAGCTGAGTGCCTCTGTTCACCCACCTCTCTCTCTGCCAATTTCCAGATCTTGTCCACTTTGATATCCCCTCTATCCACGTAGAGCTCGGGTCCTCGCTCCGCCTGAGCCCCCTGGAGCACGTGCGGCGACACTCGGTGACTGAGAAAAGGGACTCGGAGGAGGAGTCTGAGAGCACCGCCCTCTGACACGGCTTTCCCGCCCGCCCACCCGACCCGCGTGTACGTCCGTGTGCCCGGACGCCTGCTGCCGGGAGCGCTGTGAGCGTGCTGTGGTGTTGGCTCCTTGTCACTGCCAGCATGAGGCTGGATTTCACAGAGCGTGGGCTCCGGCCCGGGCGGTGCACGGTGGTGTGTATTGTGTTTGTTCCTTTCAGGTGGTTACTTGGGCCTTTTGTTTGATCTGCCTTTTGACGTTGTGCCTCTTTTGATCCACTCTCGGCCTCCATGCCAAGCAGCACCCACCTCTCTCCACCCAAGGGACTGCTTGTTGGAAAGGTCCTTTGCAGGGCAGGGGGTACTGAGGCGACTGGCTGGTTAGACCTGGGGCTGCTGTCTTTCCTTTGACAGCTAATGTTTAGCCCTGCAGTATCAGCTTTATCTTACAGGGGGACTTCTGGACATCCTGAGGCACTGGCCTTTTCCTGCTGCTTGTGGGGGAGGGGGGGAGCCAGTGACAGAACCTTAAGGCTGCCCTTAGTCAGAAGGCTCAAAAGCAAATTGCTTAAAACCAAGTATGTTTCACTTCCTAATAGTTTTATTTATATGACTGGAAGCTCCTTTTATTCCCTATTTTATTCTTCTGGATTTAAAAATGATCCTGAGGCTGTCAGTAGGGCCCAAAGATAGTTTGGGCCCCAGAATGTTAGCTCTCTGGCAGAGCTCGCTAGGTACATAGGGCCTGGAGCCTGGCTCTTTTCTGGAGGTTACAAGTGAATAGCAATAATTCTGTTGCCCAGAGCATGTCGACAAGAGGCAGCCAGCGCAGGGAGCACCAGCACCTGCCACTCATCCCCTCATGAACTCCATCTCTTAGCGAGAGGGCCCGGGAGGGCACTGGGGAGCCTGTTCGCACTTTGGGATTAAGGGAGTAAGAACCAGATTTGGGTCATGCATGCAAAAGCAAACTACAATTTTGTCCTTTTAAAATAGATATAATATAACCTATATATGATATAATATTTGTATATATGAAATCTATATTTGTTTAATTTGAACCAGTCAATCTAAACCAGTGTACAGGTGTACAATGAAAATTTAAATGCTTCGTTATTTTTCCTGACCTGGTGTACAATCACCTTTCTTGGATGGTGGGGTTTGCAAAATTCTGACGTCACAGCTTTGCTCACTTCCTGGCAAGGGCGGTTCAGGACCCACTTTGTATTGGTGCCCAGCGGTCGAAAGTGACCTTTAAACACATGTACAAACAGCTGTCAAAAGTAATGTTATTAAAATAGACTGATTATCCCCGAGCGCAGCCTGGCGTCTTGTCTCAGTAACAATGTCTGGGGACACAGGACTAGATCTCAGGTGCTGCCTCCTGGGGACCCCGACTCACCAGGGAAGGCAGAGTCCTTGGTCTCAAAAGCTCTTTCTACACAAATAAATACTAAATAGATCTCTGAAAATTGTCTTAATTTTCAAGCACTTTTATCTTAGTGTTTTTAAACCCCCACAAGGAGCCAGCCTAATGCGGTATTGCTCAGTCCTCTCAAGGGCAAACAGTCACTCTCTCACCACGGGGCGGGAGAGAGCCAGCCCACTGCTCCGTGCCTCACCCAGAAGGAACGAAGATATGAGTCTCCTCAATCCACTGTAGCGGGCACCCGGCACTCCCACATGGTGTGGGGAAGCTGCCTGGAGCCAGTGCAGCCCGATTCTGTCACATACTAGGCTAGTGATGGGGAGGCCCCGTCTGCAGTCAGAGCAGGGCAGGCTGGGCATACAGGGCACACTGGGCACATGGGGCCCGCTGGGCACCCGGGGCACACTGGGCCCTGATGGCAGTGGCTACAGCAAGGAGAGGACTCACCAGGGTGACATATGCAGGACCAAGTGAGAGAATGCAGGGTTCCAAACTGAATCTTTATTGTGTTCGGGTGTCCCGGACATGCAGACTTCCTTTCCGCTCCCTATGCAGTTGGCTGGTCTCGAGTGCAGAGGGCACACCATCACTGGAGCAGGGCAGGCATGCTGTCCTGTTTTCCATGACTTTTGCAAAGCCGACTGGCATGGGGATTAGTTCCACTTGCTGTCTTTGCTGAGCAGCCTCCATGCCTGTGGCTCCCCAGGTCCCAGGAGGGCTCTGGCAGATGGGTCCTCGTCCCGGAGCCCCACCAGGGCCCAGCGTCACCGTCTACTCCTGAGTGCCCTCCTTGTTGCACTGTGCCCTCTGCCTCCGACTGGGCAGGAGAGCAGACACTGGCACCCATGCACAGTCACTCCGACCCCTCACTGGACTCTGGCCTTCTTGCTCTGTGGGCTTGGAGGCTCGTCCCTGGGCACCCTCTTCTGCGGGGACTCCCTGGAGAGCAGGGCCGCCCGCAGCAGCCGCAGCTCCCGCTTCTCCCTGCGTTCCTCCATCTCCTCCAGGTCACCGGCAAACAGGGCTTTGAGTGGGGGGATCAGCTTGGGTACTGTGGGAAAGTCTCCAAAGCAGACCTAGAAGGCAAGAAGGAGGTGAGGAGCACCCCAGGAGGCTGCGAGGGGACGAGCTGTGGGCGACACGCTCACATAACAGCACCAAGCCCTCTCCTCACCAGTCAGCCCACCACATCATTAACACAGTGCCAGGAGAGAGGAGTCAGTGATGTTTCCTCCTGGCTAAGGGGGCCATACTGGTCCCTGGGAAAGGCAATCCAGACTTTCAAAATCAAGCTCCCAAAACAACAAACCCTGGCTTATTCTCTGCCGCTTCATTCCAGAAGGCCTGGGAGTAAGGCCTAGCTTCACCACCCACGAGGGGAGAGAATGCCACCTGTCCCCAGGCTCATGATGACTGAACAGACTGGGCCTATCACAGGCCTTCGTAATCCCCAGTGGCCTGACGGAGGCTGATTTCTGAGCAGCCCCTGCAGCAGAAGGCCTCGCCTGTCAGCCTGGTCGTGAGTGTGACCAGATATGAATCATGGGGTAAGATACATCCTCTTACACGGGCAACCACGGAACCCGAGGGGAGATGCCACCACCCTGTGCAGCGCCCGTGGTCTGGGCTAAGATATATCCTCTTACACGGGCAACCACGGAACCTAAGGGGAGACACTACCACCCTGTGCAGTGTCCACCATCCCAGTCCCCATCCCACAGCCCACGACATACAGACCTTCATGTGGTCAAAGGCGATTCCGACTCTGTCGTTAAAGTCAGGACTGAAGAGGGGGATCTTGGCATAGCGCTGACTGAAGTGGTTCAGCATGATGAATTTGGCGTTCATCTGCATCCCCACTGTGATAGCTTGGGAAGTCGTGCTGCAGAGAAAGGAACAAGACTGAAGCTGAGCCCGAGGGAGGACTCCTAAGTGGAGGGCCAGCACAGACTTGGCCCTCAAACTCGCTCAGCGCACCCAGGGAGGTCGGCAGGTCCCCTTACGTGCTCATTAGCTACTGCAAACTCTGGAGGACCGACTGCCACACACTCCCCTAAATCAGGCCCATACACCTGGGGGCTGGTCAGCCCACAGTGCTGGCTGGCAGCGAGGGCATCTGAGAAAAAGCACGGGGCATCTTCCCTGGGGCAGAGCACACTTGATTAAAATAGCAGACCAAGATCCAGCTCCCGGGCCGCTCTGCCCCTCCACCACTCCCCTTGGTAATTCCTTGACCTGTCTTGCAGTTTATTCCAGCATATTTCTAATTCTTTCCCAAACCATCCCTGACCCTAGAACCCAGAGAACGCTGCATACATAAAGGCAGAGCATCTGTAAGAGAACTGCCTCAGCCCTCGGCAGCCACGTGTTGTTGAGGGGCAGAGTCTTTCCCAACGGGGAACAGAAGGCTCCTCAAAGTTCCACGTAGCAGAAACAGATGAGGGCTGGGGGAAGCGTGGGCTAGAAGGGGAATAAGACGGCCTTCCTTACCTGTGTGTCTTTTCCACCGCTTCTTCTTCTAAACCGTCTTCCAACGTGGCCTCATGTATAAGGAGGGTGGCATCTTTCCCTAGAGAACACACAGGCATCAGAACAGAGTCCCAGGCATGAAAAGCACACACCCAGGCTTCACCAACAGTTTCCTGGTGCAAACACTGGGCTTCCTGCGTCCTGTGACCTGTCTGCATGTTACAGCGACACCCAGAGTCTGTCAGGGCCGGGACCCAAGTCTGCTGCCTCTGCTGACCTACAGACTAGCCCACATGACCCTGTAGCTACAAGCCCCACAGGGACCTCTACTCACCCATCTGCACTAAGGCGTCACAGGGCATGGTGTCCCCCGAATAGACCACTTTCCAGCCAGAGGCGTGCACCAGCGCACAGCCGAAAGCGTGCCTGCAGTGCCGAACCAGGCAGGTCTGGAACTACAGGGCAGGATGAGGGCTCTGAAGCTTGGCCCACGGCACCCGCTCCGTCCCTGCGCGGCCCCGCCCCCGCCCCACCCCGCCCCCGTCCCCATGCTGCCCCTCCTCCGTCCCCGCGCGGCCCCTCCCCTGTCCCCACAGGGCCCCTTACCTTTTCCAAGTCACACATTTCCAGCAGCGAGCTAATCAGTTTTTCAACTATGGGGCTGGAGACCTCAGCCCTTTTCTGAAGGCACTTGGCGGGAATCAAACTGTGAAAAGATTAAACATCAAAAAATGAAACATTTAACAACTGGAATCAATCAAGTCTGTCACTAGAGAGCCTCAATCATTCTTATGAAGAAACACAATTAAATGGCAGTCACTAAAACAAGGAAAGAGCCCTCCAATAAACCCGACACAAATTCCCAGGCTGCTGCAAAGCAGCTGACAGACGAGCATGCTCACAGATAAGGCCACAGAGGGCCTTTTTCAAGTCGCCACGGACACCTTCAGACGGGGGCTGCCTTTCCCTTGAACTTCCCTTCATCCACCTGGAATGGATGTCTCTGTGATAGTCACTATCTGGGTGCCCAGCCCTGGAGCCATTTCATGGAGGAATGTTGGAAAAAAGTATAGAAACTAGCACAGAATGAAAATAAGGGTTGAGAAAAAATGCTTCAAAGAAGACAACCATTTAA